GTTATGAGCAAAAATAGAAAACAACAAGGTGCAATGGTCATAAAGGCCCCAGTGGTTCTGCTGTGACCTGCAGCAAGAAAATGAGCTGATTTCACCTGAACAAACATCAATAACTTCCCTCATACTGGAGATAATGACAGGATTTTGGTGTTATTTTGTCTGGTTTGAAATGTTCTTTAGGAATCTGCTGTCAGATTTAAAACTGGTGTAGGATTAAAAATGTATCCCTAAAACGTGGCAAACCTGTGCATCCATAACAAAACAAGATATAAAAACATCTCACTAYCTTGTTTCTATAACTTGAAGTGAGCAGTGAAGTAAAAGCCACAGACACATTTCTCTACAGATTAAAAAAAAAAGAAGAGGGGCTCTCCGGTGACAGCCTGTCTCTTCCGCATTGCTCGGCAGCGGACCACTTTGGGCTAAAAACAGAAACCCCCCCATGAGAGACGCCCAGAGTCCCGTTCAAGCTAAAACCCCACAGCGGGTTGTTTTTTAATGTTTCCACCGCATGACTGCGCGTGGCTCAACTCGGAGAGGCTAGCGACAGGTTAGCTTAGTTAATGCCCTCATGAAACATTCCTACCGGCCGAGGCTCGAGTCCACGCCCTCACCGCCTTACCTCCGTCCGAGCTAACACGCCGTCAAACAACTCGTGTTCTCCGGCCGAGGCCGAGCGAAAACCGGCGCTGCTCTTAATCAGCACGCGCACACAACACTCACAAAACTGTTTTTAAGCTAAGCGCGACATTGCTGAAAATCCTTATTAAAAGAAGCTCGTCCGCTTACCTCGCTTTCTAGGAAACGTCAGAGGGTGGGGGGGGGAAAGGGAAGCTGAAAAATCCCAGCAAAAAAAAGTGAGAAACAGGGGGGAGAAAAAAAAAAGTCAAACTTTCTTCTTGGTCCAAAATTGTGGGAGAGTTTGCAGGCAGTGACGTCACGTGCTGAAATTCCAGCCGTCTGAGTCGGGAGGTTTGCCCATGTAAGGCAGCAGGCCAAAAACACTGCACACAAAATACTGATTCATGCAGGGGGGAGGAAGGCCTAATGACAGACGAGTTCCCCTGTCTGTCACTTATCTTATACAGTAAATTATAATTAACTAAATTAGGAGGAATTTTAGCTACAACATAACTTTCGCCTGTGAAGTACAACATTTAACTTTTGCTAACAAAATAAGTCTACTGTTCATTCACAAACAAGAGAACCAAATCAGTGAAAGTTTTAAAGGGACCTTGGACACATGTTGGCCTTCATATGTTGTTATTTCTATATTCCACTAAACGTTGTTTGTGACATGTGAAACCCCCTAATTACCTTTAAAATGTATATGTTTGTTATATTTTTCATTTAACCCTCTATGGCAGTGGTTCCCAAACTTTTTATCTTCTGACCCACAAAATATCCATGGCAAAAACTTGTGACCCCAAATA